GGATCACCAGGCTGTTGCTGACCCTGGTTACTGCCTCTTATGTGCATACTCACCTCCTTGTCCTTGTCCTTGCTGCACCCTTGCTGTTTCCTGACACAAACTAGAGAAGGAACAGACAAGTTCACAAGAGAAACTCCCATTTATAGCACAGCAGCAACTTGTCAAAAGAGCTGCATTAGCAGGTTACAGGTGATAGCTTCAGCAACACCAAGTCAAAAAGAGTGCTTCCGCTGCTCTGTGCTGTGTCAATAGTTGTAACAGTTGTTCCAGGAAATGGATAATTGCTACTTAGACTTAACTAGATCTTGAATTTTTGAAAGTCAATTACTAATTCCAATAAGGAATTATCTGTTCAGAGAGAAAAGGGCAGGAGGAGCACTGAGTACCTTCTGTGACTCTAGACTCACTTAGTCCCATGGCAAATACTTACTTTCCTAAGGGTTACTGACAGAATACTGCGTATGTTACTTTGTTTTTTGAAAATACCAGGCACTGTTTTCACATTTTACCAGGGGAAATGCTAGTCATGCCATGTATTTTAGACTGGTTGTTCTGATCTATGTATGATTGATTATTCACTTTTTTTTAATAGCTTTCCATTGAAATTGGAACAGAAGTTAAAAACCAAAATAAAATGTTATCAGAAATGGTAAGTGTTTAGTCACTAACTTCCTTTAAATATGAGGCAGGATGAAGAAATTAGTAATGTAAAGAATTCCTTCTTTTTTAGTATGAACACTTGTATTAAAATGTTGACATCTTAGTGTTGACTGTAAAGCGTGACTAATTCAGCAGCAGTGTATCTGTTCAAAAAGGCAGATGTGCAAATGCATTACTTCCAAGGCGCAACCAAGGTCTTTATACTTCAAATACAAGTATTTGTTTTCAATTAGCAAATGTATGTTATTCTTAAAAAGGCAGTGCTATACTTACATGTATTTAAGAATATTTACATGTGTTTAAGAATAGAAGAGAGAAACAAAAAATAAGGAAGTCAGAAATGCCTTTTTTGCTTGCATCCATCTGGATAATTGGGCAGACGTTTTTCCTGGTTAATTTTCAGAAACTGCCTCTGAAATAATTTTAGTTTTGGAAAACTTAAAAAACCATGAAAAACTACACTTAGCAGGCTTTAGGGATACTCTTTTTTTTTCCTCAGAGTAACATGCTGCTTGTTGTTCTCTGTGTTTTTAAATGTAGGATAATGATTTTGACTCTGCTGGTGGACTTCTAGGTGCAACTATGGGCAGACTGAAAGCGCTCTCCAGAGGAAGCCAGACAAAGCTGTTATGCTACATGATGCTCTTTGCATTGTTTGTTTTTTTTGTAACATACTGGATTATTAAACTGAGGTGATGCATGTTACCTTTGGTTTAAATTGTGTAATTCCAACTATAAAGCAGTCTTAATTAATGAAGACATTGATCGGAAGTGAAATATTCTGTTGATAAAACACAGTGAAATTGTTGTAAGTTGCATTAGCTATTAATGCAATGTTATATATAGTTTTTCTTAATGTATCAGAATTTTTCCCGTCATCCCATTTTGTGGGGATTCTTTGTAAATACACAAACTGCTGGCATAGCAGGTTGCTTTTTTAGGGGAAAATAGTTTTTAGAATTGATTTTAAAAGATACAAAAAACAATTGTTCAAGAGATGAAGTAATTGCAGAATTACAAGCTTTTCTCTTTCAGTCTGCACTTCATTCTGGGCCATGCTCTAAATTAGAGCTCCAGTTTCAGGCATAGAGTAAGTTTTAGGTTGCAAAAGCACAAAGAAGACTTGGAATCTTCCTAAATTGGTTTTATCTGTGGAATTTTTTAAAGGGTGGCCTGAAGCTAACAAATGTAATAGTGGTACGCCCAAAACTTACTTTTGTGGATAGGTCTGATAATTTTACATGTTTTAAATCCTTTAAATTGTGTTTTGGGGAGAAGTTCCTTAAAACTGGACTCTTTTTTTAATGTAAATGTGACAAATCATGCTTACACACTGCTCTTTTAAGCAAATGCCTTTGATCATTGGGATCAACCAATGTTGACACAGTACAAATGTCTTCTTTATATTTAAAGTATCTAAAATTTAATGATTCCATTGAATCACTAAACTTTTACCATGCGTGTGTTTACTTTTCAATCTGTGATGATCCCTAAATCTAGATTGCATGATGTCTGAAATATGAGGTCAGATCCTTTGAATTTTATATTAAAGTATATTATGATGCACCTATTGGAGGTGCTGTCATATTCAGGTTTTTTATTTTGCAGACACAGCTTTGGCTCACCAAATAGTTTCTAATAGTTGAAGCTATTACATTGCTGAGTTTAACATTCAAAAAATTAAGTTTCCTAGATACTGAAAGTGTATCTACAATTTTTGAAAAACTTTTCTAGAAATACTGTATAGCATGTTGTCATTAATAACTAATGAGAAGCTGACCAATAAAGTGTTCTGTAGTAGAGCTAGTGTTGTTTATATACATTCTTTTCTACTGTAGAATACCAGTGTATTTTTTTGAAATGGTGCTGCAGTTGAGGCACTATACTTACATGGGGAGCACTGTAAAATAAGAATCGGAGGTGTATGCTACATTTCTTTCATGTTAGATTTCATGTATTATGGAAGTGTGACATATAAATCACTCATCTAATAGAAAACTGTACACAGAGTATGTCAAAGTACTTAAAGCTTTTATTTCTAGCCAATTTAATCTTCGACTGTTAAAAGGTCTACAATACTGGTACAAATAACAGAACATCTAAGTACTAACACCAGGATAATGCATTTTTAATATGAGGATTGCTAGGCTTGTTAAACAAGTATAGCATTCCCAAAGCTAGTCAGTAGGATATAGTTTGCCATCCAGAATCAATACATTTGTGTCATTTTAATGAGACAGTAGAGTGCAGTACCTAAGAAGTGAAATGACAATTACTGATATATCTGCTTGTTACTTCCCCTGACAGTTGATCATCTTCTAGAATTATATTTCTAGCTCTTAAACATGGTGTCTGAACAATTTCTAGACTTTTTTTAGCACTCAATCAATAAATGGAAAATAAAAAAACCTACCTACTATAAAGTAGAAAGGTAGATGGATGCAGATAGTTCTATGGCCGATGTAGCTCCTGTCTTCCTTCTGAAGAATACACTCGGGTGTCCCTTAAGTCCTGACAGAGCACGTATTGGTAAAAAGTTTTACCTATTCTTCAGATCATGTGTAAAACTAACAGGTTTTTGGTTTTAAATGTCAAAACAGATAAAAGGTAATTAATGCAGAATATGAACTAGGTTGTCTTTTTCACCCACCCCCGTTCTTCAGTGGTGTGGAGGAGTGAGTGGAAATGAATTCCGGGGGGGGGGGGGGGGGGGGTGGGGGGGAACCCTGAAGCCTATGTCTTCCTTTCTGTGTTTCTTCATTTAAGGAGGGTTGCCAGTCTGTTTTTGTTATTGTCTAGAGAAGGCAGGAAATTGGGAGAAAGATTAAGCACAAGGAATATATGATGCCTCCAAACAACTTTATGTGTTTAATAGAAAACACATAAGGGCTTTTTTAATTAAGTGCTAAAAACATGCTCCATTAGGCTCTTTTAACATGAGCATGAGCTGAAAGTCACATAGTCAAAACTGGCATTCTTCTGTATGTTTGACATCATTTTATGGGATGTAACACATTTCCCTTCAATTCCAGTTAAAGGTCATTATTTTTATTTTTTTAATATTTCACTCAGGGAAGAAGAATGGCGATTGGTGGGAACCTTGCACTGCAGCATTAGAATTTTCCTCAGCACCTGCACTTGTTTTACTGGTCATTTTCTGGTAGAAAAGTCTTACTTTGACAGGACTTAAAAGTAACAAATAGTTAGCAAGATTTCAGGATGCTATAGTATGACCTTGTAGAATAAAATTCACTAAAATAGTAGTGGCTTTAATTGTACTTCCACAGAGTTGCAGTTAATAGCAACTACATAAGAATGATTATTCTTCATTTTGAAATCTTTTGTATATAATTTTTACACAATATTTACATATTGCATTTCTCAGTTTAATGTAATTTAGACTCTAGCAACTGTACAGATTATTTCTAGATGGAAGGAAATACTGTCTTTTAACTATCAAACTGTTAACCTTACAGCATCATGGAAATTCCTTAGAGAATGCTTAACACAGCTAGTTGGTTACACAGACAACTCCACTGAAGCTTTTACAGGCTGTATCTTCTGTCTTAAATGGCTGATTTAGGAGGCCTATAAGTAATTATACAGTTCTCATATTAACATGTTTATTTTTAATATTTTTCTTTAATAATTGGACACAAAACATGATACCTCACTGCTGAAGTTCAGGCCTCCAAAAGCTTCAGAATTAATTCAACAGTTTGTAGAATTCTACAAATAATCAACACCCTCTGCCATCACCAAACCATGACAGACCATAGTACGAGTCCTGTGAACTTGGTGAAAATGACAGAGCTCATTTTGATGATTACTTGCTAGAAGTGAAAGTTCAGGAAGGTACATGAAATTGAAGGCAAAAATCACTGTTTATTTGAATATGGTGGTGAATAATTTGTGCCTTTCATCTTGAAAGCAAAGTTACACTGAAATTAGATTAAGCTACTAGTGAAATCACCTGTATCCATATGGAAGATGCTCTAAAATGTAGATACACCGTGATTAAAGAAGACAGGTTGGGGTTTTTTTCTGGGTGTTTAGTGTGGATCACTAAATCCCCCCAAAAAGTAACCCACTGAAAAAAAAAAAAAGGGGAGAACATGTGCAGAAGATGCACATGCTTTCAGAATGCTTCCTATCAACAGAAATTTGACACTGGAGAACACACAGAATGATACTGGTCGAAGACCCTGACAAGCAGTTCATTTGCAAAATTACCATTATATTTTTCCTTATTTTACCCTTGAAACTTGTACTGGCTGTTACCTTCAGGGTGCAGTACAAGCCATGCTCTTGCTTCATTTTCATAGAAGAGTGGAGATGCATCACTTGCTTGGAAGAATTTCCATGTATTTGCATATGATGGAAAGCATGGTTTCATCTGTGCCACCTCCTATTGATGTTAACCTCAAATCTCTAGAAGTACAAAGAGTAGATTTAAACATTTGCATGCTATATTGATAGAAGCAGCACAGGACTATACTTACCCATTTATTCTGCTGTGCATTTATTATGGAGCTGCTTTTATTATATTGAGACCCCTTGTTTACAGAAGCACATACATGGTGTGGAGAAACGTATTGCCAGCACCATAAATACCCTTTTGTGTACAGGGATGTTGCTAATTCAAAATCAAAAGGTTTAAGTTATAAGTTGGGACATCCAATTTTCAAATCCTTGCAAAAATAACCTTAACCCAGCGTAACACTGTATTTTCATATTGAAAGAAGTTCAAACCTCTCCTAGCAAACCACCACCCCTACTCAAGCCCAGCCAGACCTGCAGCTGAACTCCATATGGACTTCTGTTGAGGTCATAGGACTTTGGATGGGCACATGGAGCATCATGGCACTTCTCCAGGTCTTCTGCTGGACACCCACCATATCCACACCAGATGTCTGCAGAACACCTCATCCACTGCCTCCTCCTGATGAGATGCTCTCCAATACTTCCCACAACATTCCCGCTGATCCTTTGCCAAAGCTATAGGTGCCTAAGCCTGCAGTTGAATTTTAGGAGGGGAGGGAGCTTTTAGAGGGCCATCAGCAAAAAGTGTTGCAGCACTTAACTTTGCTGAACTGTGTAGTAAAAAGAGTATTAGTCAATCAGGACATGAGGTAGTGGAGAATTGTACAGAGAAAGGACATTTTAATTCAAGGTTTTTAAACCAACAAGCATCCTTATCTCCCTAATGGCTATGTGAGATCTGGCACAATTCATATGAGTAATATATCGTATTATAATATAGTATTATTATTACATGGTATTACATTATAGTGGAGAATTATGTAGTCTATAATGCTTCTCTGCTTTAAAAATGAATGGCTGCTTCAAGCTTATTTACTTTGGATTTGATATTTCTAATCACTCATTTAAAACCAGCTATGTTATATCACTGAGTCATCTCTGACAGTATTGCCCACGTTCCCTGTGCACCTTAAGCAATTTTCTTCACAAATTTCTTTTTCCCTTTAGGAAGAATTAAAAAACAAGAAAAAAAACCCCACCAAAACATGAAACACCATAGTTCTGCTAAACTACCTCTACTTAATTCACAGCCTGAAGATTCCCCGCCTTCCTCTGGGCCCTGTTGAAGGCAGCAGAGCTGGAACCATCGTAGGTTACTTGTTCTTTGTGCTGCAGCACTGTCTGCTTTTTCAAGCTGCAGAAAGCCCCTGCCAATGCTTAGCATTGTGCATCCTCACAGCACTGTAGCTGCTGTAATTAATCCCCACAACTCCTCTGTGGTGCTGATAAAAG